AGCCGGGGCCTGGCTGTTAAGGGCTGAAGGGGAAAGCAATGCGGGCCAAGGGCTGCTTTGCCCCAGGGGACTTTGGGCTGATTGGGGTGACTTCGTGAGACCCTGCGACAAAATACCAACTCTAGAGAGAGACAGAATCTGCACAAAGCTCTGGGTTCAATCGCAGGTGCTGCAAAACCAGACCCAAAGCCTCATTGATCAGATGCTCTCACCATTCAAGACCAAACCCAACACACAGGGACTGCCTGGGTGGTAAAGGCTTTGCCCCAGTCACACTTCCCCAGCAGGATGAAGGAGGGCTCAGCTCAGCCCTTCCTGAAATCAGCCAGCGATGTGTCAGCCTGGGGGGGGGGGGGGGGGGGAGATAGGTCTCTGAGTGACAGACTTTGCTTGCTTTTGAGGGGCTGCAAGGCTCAATGGACTAGGAAATCACTCAAAGATGACTGTTAGGAGCAGAGAGAGAGAGTGGAGGAGGGGGCAACTTGACCAACTGGCACATTCGAAGCAGGGTTCCTTATGAGGCCCAAGCTAGGTCTTTAAAGATGAGAAAAAGTGGTCAGTAGAGAGACATAGCAGAGATGAATGGAGGAACAACCACCTAAATTGAGGCCTGGCATGTTCTAGGCTTTGGTAGGATGCAAAGTCAGATGGAAGGGGGTCAGTGAAGTCTTTGCCAAGTGTAACTGAAGAGTTAATAATGACCAGAGCCATCTGTAGGGCACGAACATGGGGCTGAGCACTTGAAAGTACTGTTTTATTCCATCCTACCTCAAGTCTACCATCCCAGTTTTACAAGGTGAGTGCTGGGGACTCACAGGCTGCATGGCCAGTGAGGGAGAGGCAGGATTGGAACTCCAGAAAACCTGATCGGCAGTGTGTGTGCCCTCACTCTACTACCTCCAGCCCTCCAACAGAAAGTCAGGCTAGACACACTTGGTCCAGCTTGTGAAAGCGGAATGAGTGAGGACTGCTGTTCTTCTAGGGTTGGTCTGTACCCAGACAGACAGTGAAGGAAGAACACGGCAATGAGAACCACATGCAGAGGCTCTCAGAAGCAACTATCCAGTGTGCACACCCTCCCGGTGCATTCGGCAGAACATGAGGGATGGGGGTATGGGGACCAGAAAGCCAAACAGGACACGACAATGCTTTAAGTCCTTGACGTGCCCCGTGCTGTCTGTGACATAAAGCTGGCTTGAGCTCAAAGAAAGAGAGTGAGTAAGAATGGGTCTGTCTCACTCATTTGTGGTAGAGTCCTCTGGGCCTTAACATCCCTCTAGAACCGTGGTTCTCAACCTTCCTAATGCTGAGACCACTTAATACAGTTCCGCATGTTGTGGTGACCCCCAACCATAAAAATTATTTCCTTGCTGCTTCATAACTGTAATTTTGCTACTGTTATGAATAGTAAAGTAAATCTCTGTGTTTTCTGATGGCCTTAGGCGACCCCTGTGAAAGGGTTGGTCACAACCCACTGCTTGAGAACTGCTGCCTTAGAAGGAGATATTCAATAAATACTGTGGAGAAGGAAGAATAATAAGGCACTTTGGAAGATAACAGTAATGAGGTGCCATTAATGTTAAGGAAACAGAGCCTTTCCCAAGGGCTGGGGAGCTTGTTCAGCTGTTAAGAGCACGTACTTGTGTTGCAGAGAATCTGAATTCCACTCCCAACATCTACATTGGAAGGCTCACAACCACCTGTAACTCCAGCTCCAGGGGATCCAACACCTTCTGGTCATCGTGAGCACTTGCATTAAGTGAACTCTCACGTCTATACCCACAGCGGCCTCACAGTCACATATGATCAAATAAATAAAACCGAATTTTAAAATAAAAATTCACAAATGTAAAGAAAACTGTAAAGAAGGCAGGTTGACGACAGGAGAAGAAACGGACGTGAATGTCCCAGAAGACCTACAGAGGGGTGGGCATTTAATGAGGAGTCCTCAGTGTGGGGCACTAAGTCAAAACAGAGGCACCACATTAAAGTCACTTGGTAAAAATAAGATGTCATCAGAGGAAGTGTCCTGGAGGTGAAAATGCACCTTATGGGATATGGGGGGCTGCGCAGAGGGGGCGGGGGTAGCTGTGGAGTAGGCCCAAAGATTAAACTTCAGGACTAAAAGATTTCTGGTCCCTGGCCTGGACAAGGTGAGTTAGTCCTTAAAGAGCTGGCAGAGACCAGTGATCCTTGAGACACTGGGACCAAGGTTTAGTCCTCTGTGAGGACCCTTCTGTAGACACCTAAAAAATAAAAACCATATTTTTTGAGGTCTGAAGCTTCCCAGGTCTGACGTGTCCAGAGTTCGTTTTCCTCTAAAAGTCATTTCTGATTTTTGAGCATTTACAAGTGTGAATGTAATACATCAAAAACAAACATTTTAATTTTTTGAGGCCTGCAGGAGGGCTCAGCCAGTAAAGGTGTTTTCAGCCAAGCTCCAAGATCTGAGTTTTTGGGTCTCACATGGTAGAGGGGGAGAACCAACTCCCGACGTTGTCCTCTGACTTCTCTAACACAAGAGCAGTCATACACACACACACACACAATAATATTTTTAAATTAAAATTTGTCTGTTTCGTGGCTTATAAAGCCCTTGTCAGGCAAGTGTGGGGACCTTAGTTCAGATCCCCAGCACCTACCTAAACAGCCAGGAGGATGGTCAGCTGCAGTGCCAGCACCCAGGAGGCAGAAACAGAGGGTCCCCAAGGCAAGCTGGTGAGCAGGACAAACCAACACAGTGCACTCTGGGTTCAGCTAGAGGCCCTGCACCATCACAGAAACCTGCCTCGGTGAATGAAGTGGAGCCATTGAAGAAGTCACCTGATGTCAACCCTTGGCCCCCACACCCATGAGCACCCAAGTGCATGCATGCTCAGTCAATTCCAGTACTCATGTATAGCACCCACAGATACACACAAGAAAAAAAAAATGATTATATATACCTTGTGCTGAAATCGCTTGCTCACATGGCAGGCTGGTAAGCATAAGATGAGTTTTATTTTTCTCTTTAAAGGACTTACTAAGACTTTGTAAACAATTTCTCATTCCTTCACATATTATTTTGCATCAAGTTATCTTGAAAACGGTTCTCACAATTTGCCACTTATGTCAGAGAAATCCCGACACCCTTCCCTTGTGTGGAAAATGAAAAGACAAGTGGAATTCCATGCAGCCTTTCTCTGGGAGCTAGCTGCCATCCAACTCTAAACGTCTCTGAAAACTTTGACCACATGGGTACAACTCAAAATGAATTGTCCAAACATTCTGGAATGGCGATTCCATAGAAATGTGAAAAGTCTCAGTTGTATAAAACTACTTTAAAGCCCAAATTAAAAAGACCCAGCAGGCCGGTCAGCTAATTGTTTAAAACTGTGTGTGTAAATGACTCATGAGCTACAGAGCCTGGAATTCGAAAATCACAAACCTTAATCTTGTAAACAAAACTTCAACTGGGGCCTCTTGAGTTTTGTCCTTTCCCAGTCTAAAGCAAATGTTTTACGTACACAGAAAAAGAGGGTTGACATGTCTGATGGTCATCAGCTAAATCCAGCGGGTTTTCTTTTCGTTTCTTTTTAAAATTTTTCGTACTTATGTGTGTTGGGGGAGGGTCTATGTGCATGTGTGGGTGGGGGATAGAGGAGGATACGAGGTGTTCCTCTTTGTCGCTCTCCGCACGATTCCCTTGAGTCAGGGTTTCTCACCCAACCTAGAGCCAGATTGGCATCCATCAATTTCCAAAGGGCCTCCAGGCTTCTCCCACTACCACCGGGGTGGCAAGGAACCACGCCCAACTTTGTATATGGATGCTGGGGATTTGAACTCAGCTCCTCAAGCTTGCACAGCAAATGTTCTTATCCAGGGAGCCGAGTCTCCAATCACCCATGTCAGTTTTTAAGAGGCTAGGGTAACATCAGAGGCTGCAGCTTAATGGAGACTGAGCAAAACTCAAGCAGAGTTGAAGAAACTGTAGTGTAGAGTTAAAACCCTGTTAGGATGTTTGCTGCTGTGCTTTGTCTGAACCGCTCCACTGCTGTGATCCTTAACTCCTAGAATCGCCTCACCTGTGACCCTGGCCATCTCCTAGTCACCCAAAACACCAGAGAAGGGCATGGAAAGCCAATGATGAAAAGAGTGCAAACTTAAACAAACGGAACCACAGAGATATACAAAGGTACAGGGGCCCAGAGTCACGTGACTTACTCAAATAGTAGCACTGACCACAAATAGCTGCAACAACTCTAACTTTTGAGTTAAAATGTCAGCGATTCTGCACTTCCCAGGCAAGTCCTTAGGAAGGAGTCCTGGTTCCTGCTTTTCTGCCACAACTGCCACCCTGCTATGGGACCTGGTGGGCATCCTAAGTTGGGTGTTTCTACTGAATGGCAACTGCTGAGATCTTTAACTCCAGGCACGACTCTGGAGTCCAGCACTAAGTAGGCACGCAGTAAATAATTCTCAGCCGTCAAGCTGACCACCTTCATTGGGTCCCCATCCCAGCAGGCAGGCCAGCGGGGATAGATGACAGCCCTTGGAGAGCAGTTCTTTTCTCAAACTTGTATCCAGTGAGTCCGGGCCCAGAATCTCTCCCGAGGTGGTAGAATTGGGGACCGAGAGTCTGGTTCAGTCGGGGTGTCTAGGACAGTACGCGGCCCAGGTGTGCAACAGCTGGGCGGCCAGTCCCCTGCCGCGACTCCTCCAAGCCCCAACTTCTTAAACTTCCCTTTCCGGGGGGTGCAGGCCCCTCGCGGCCGCCCTAGCCTTTCGTGCGCGCACAAAGGGGTCAAGAGCGTCCCCAAGTCTCCCGCAAGTGAACTGTCCTCCTTCGCGAGAGGTCTTCCCCGGATCCCCGCCGCTGGGAGGACTCGGGCCGCTACAAACTTCCCGTTTCCGCCTTCTCGCCGGACCCGCGGCCGACTGTCAATCCCTGCCTTGGGGGTTGGAGGAGGAGCGGGGAGCCCTAGTGGACCCCCAGCGTCGCGCCACGGTCACTCACTCACCCGACTTGGGAACGTGCGGCGGGATCGTGCTGGCGATGCGCGTCCACAGGACGATGTGCAGCGGCCACAGGCCCCGGAGCAGCCCCCGACCCATGGTAGCCCCCGTCGCTCGTCATAGACCGGCCCCTGGGGCGCCGCGAACCGAGCCTCGGGGACCCCGGGCTGCGCCTTTACTCCTCGTCTTCTCAGGGTGCCTGGGCCGCCCTGAGCGCGCCGGACAGAGGTGCGGGCCAGATGTGGCCGGCGATCCGGGGAGCTTGGAGGCCCGGAGGAGGCCCCCGGCGGCCGAGGAGAGCTGCGCAGAAGGCTGGGGCTCCGTCCCCCAGGCGAGCGTGTGCGCGCGCGGGGGGTGTCGTCGGTCGGTGCGCGCGAGTGACTCACTCATCAACTTTACCCGGGCGCCGGGAGGGAAACAGGAAACTCCTCGCCAACAGCTGGGCAGGACCTCTCGCCGCCGGAGAGCCTTCCAGCTCCAGCCTTCTCTAGCTTCCAGCCCTTGCCTTCCTCCTGCCGCCAATCAAGGCCCCTGAGAGGACTCTGCAAACTTTCAGCTGCCCCCTTGCAGCTCTCCCACTACACCCCCACCCCCTCGCCCCGAAGTCCCGGCTCCAAGTTCAAACTCAGAAGTGACTAAGCGCACGTTTCGCAAAGCCAGCTAGAAAGTGCTTATACATACCACTTTCCTTGATACCCCACCAAGCACCCCCCACGCCTTCTAGGCATTGCTCCCAGGGCCTTCATAATTTCGTTGAGAACCAGGAGGGAGTTCGGAAGTGTAGCTCCAGACCCCCAAACACATTGTTTTCCCTAATAAAATAACGGTAAGCACTGCTTCACGAGAGCTTGGTTTCAGTTTTATGTGCAAGCAGGCGTGATCACGTTGTAAAGGACTGTATTCTCACTATGAGGCAAAAATCCAGGGGTTTGTCTCAGACTTTTATGTGCGTATTAGTCATTTTGGGCTGTGAATTCAGCTAAAATGCAGCAGGTTCTGGTTCAGTAGGTCTGGGCCGGGAGTGTCTGCATTTTTAATGAGCACCTGGGTAGAGCCTCCCATTGGAAGGACCATTTCCTGGGCGTGGTCTGCTAGAAGAAGCCAAATAGTCACCCATGTGATCGCGGTGGGGATATTTTCAGGACGTTGCCTGTAAGGCCAGAACCTTAGGAATAAAAGCGTCTTTGGTGGTGGGGTCTGCTTCCTGCAGTCCAGTGATTGCTCTTCGATCATTGAGCGAGGGAAGAAAATATCCGACTGAAGGTAGAAAGGCTGTGGGGAAGACATCCTTCAACATCCTTCAAGTTTCCCTTCTTCCTGGGGTGACCACGTTTTCCACAGACAACCCCTGCTTCACCCGGGCTCTGCGTGTGCACTGTGTGCATGTGTGTGTGGGGCACGTGGAGGCCAGAGGTCCACCCACATCCGGTGTCTGTTTCAATCATGTCACCTGGTTTATTTTTAAAGGCTTATTTTATGTGTGAGCATTTTGCCTTCACTTCTGTATGTGCATGGTGTGCGTGCCTGTTGCAGAAGAGGTTATAAAAGGACACCAGATCTCCAGGAACTAGAGTCTCCCAAGGCTGTGAGCCAAAAGGTCCAGGAGGTGACTGAGTAAGCGCTGGGACCTGAATCCAGGTCTCTCTAAGAACTAGTGCTCTTAATCACGGAACTTTCTCTCCAGCCCCTTGCCTTATGTGAGTCTCCCACTGACCCTGGAGATGGAAGATTGGCTAGGCTGGCTGGCCAGCAAGTTGAGACATCCATCCTCTAGTCCTTGCTTCCCCAGCACGGGGATTTCAGATGCACCTATACCAGTCTCTCTCTCTCTCTCTCTCTCTCTCTCTCTCTCTAAATTTGTGTGTATATGTGTGTGAATGTGGTGTGTATATATATGTAGTGTATGTGTACAAGTGAGTGTGGGTGCATGTACATAGGCACATACATGGAGGCCAGAGAGTATCAGTCACTCTCCACCTTATTTCTTTGAGCCAAAGCTAGGCTGGTGGCCAGTTAGCCCCACTGACCCTCATGTCTCCACTCTATAAAACTGGGGTTACAGGCACATGCAAGGCAATGCCAGGCTTTTTATGTTGGTGCTGGGACCTGAACTCAGGTCCTCATGATTGGGCAGCAAGCACTTTACACACTGAGCTCTCTCCTGCCCCAGCACCCAGCGTTCCACGCAGGTGCTGGAGGTAGGTCTCAGCTTGTCTGGTGATCACTCTACGGACAGAACCATCTCCCCAGCCCCTCTTTTGCAGTTTATTAATAGAACCTCCATTCTCTGTCAGATATCTGACTGGATAATGAAGTACCCGATCAACCTACTTCCAGCTCTCAAAGATAGGGACTCGGGATAGCTCATTGTTTGGGTTAGTGTTTTTGTTGCTGAGATAAAACACCATGGCCAAAGGCCATGCAAGGCAAGGGTTTATTTCATCTTATAGCTTGTAGTCCATCATCCATGGAAGTCAGGGCAGGAACTAGAGGCAGGAACTGAAGCAGAGGCCATGGAGGAGTGCTGCTTACAGGCTTGTTTCCCATTGCTTACTCAACCCGCTTTCTTATATAACCCAGGGCCACCCGCCCAGAGGTGCTCCCACCTACAGTGAGCTGGGCCCTCCCACATCAATCACCAGTGGACCTACTGGCCAATCTGATGGAGGAGTTTTCTCAACCGTGGTTCCCTCTTCTCAGATAACTCTAGCTTGTGTTGAATTGAGAACAACCAAATGACCAGGACAGAGGTTTTAGGGACACGATCTGTTCATACAGTGAATTGTTCCCGAGACAGGCCCTCTTCCAGGTTCACTTGGACAGCCCTTCCTCAAACCCAGTGCCTGTGGGTAACTTGGGCAGGCTAAGGGTGAATTTGTTAAAAACTGGGATTCTAAGTCTTGATTCAGCACCCAAAACTACTGGGTGTATCTTCTAGGAAGAGGGCACTTCCTGTCTCTCACACATCTGGTGAGGGTCATGCAGGACAGACACTAGGAGGGTGAGGGCTGGTCACCCTCAGGCACATCAGCACACAGGCAACCTTGCAACTGTCATGCCATGTTAGTGAGGGAGGCAGGCTGAGTTCAGAATCTGACTCCTCACCTTCTCTTTTGGAAGACCTTCCCAGGCCTCTGCCATCCCTTAAGCATTTGTCTTGTGGGCCAGTAACCCTCTGGCAGGGCCACTCTGGGCCCTTCCACAGTGTCTCAGATCTGAGCTACAGATGTTTTTAAAGTGCAAGCTCTGCCATTAACTCCTTTAATAGCGTCACAGAGCTCTGTGAGCTTGAAAAGGTAGAAACAAAATCCTCATGCCTGCTCTAGAGTCCGTGTCCCCACACAGCCCTGCAGTGGCCACATCTCCTGCTCTGCCCAGAGCCTGTTCTGCAGTCCTGGAGCCTACCTCTGTAGACCCCTGACTTCCCAGTGATGCCTTCTCTGTCCTGGTTGACGGACCCCCGAGGTGGGCGAGCTTTCCTCTCCTCTCTGCGTAGATCTCTGTAGAGTAGATTTTGTGTCTCCCTCTGGTCCTGGAGATGGAAGATTGCCTGGTCTGGCTGGCCAGCAAAAGCTGGATATCCTCCTGTCTCTGCCTCCCCAGTACTGGGGTTTCAGATGCATCTGCACCAGCTTTTTTTTTTTTTTTCGGTTTGTGTGTATATATACACGTATGAGTGTGGTACCTGTGTGTGTAGTGCATGCGCACATGTGACTGTAGCTCCACATGCCTGTCCCCCAGTGCTTATTTCAGTTTATGTATGGTTTTCATTATTTGTGTGTTTGTTTGAGATACGATGCCATGTAGTTCACTGACCTCGGCTTGCTAGGTAACTCTCCATCCTCTTGGCTCCACCTCCCAACTGCTGAGGTTACAGGCGTGTGTCCACCGTGCCTGATACATTTTACAGCACTCACCATGGCTGGATTCCATAATGATTTCTCATTTATTAATTCCCCATCACATTCCTCCCTCAATTCCAAATGTCTTGAGGGCAGGCACTACATACGTTTCTTTTCTTACTACTGTATTTCCACACTAAATACATCATAGGTGTGTGGTCGGGCATGTGTTGGCTAAATGAACACAAGAGGTCACAAGGACTCAAGTGACAAGTGACCTCAGGGACCTGGTTATTTCATAACCCCGGGGAAAGCGTTATGTAACCAGACAGTTGGAGGTCTGCACAGATGAGCTTTCAGCAGGGCCATGCCAATGCCACTTCCCTTTCCTGAGAAAGGAGAAGTGAACCCGCTCCTTTCTGTCTTCTTAATTTTCCCTAAGTTTGTCTAAGTTCTCCTGTTTGTGACAGATGTACTGTCTCCTCCGCGTGCTAAAACAAGTAAAGGTCGAACTATCCCAAGGAGCCTGGGGAGATGGCACAGTTGACCAAGCCCTAACCTTACACGCTGGAAAGCCTGAGCTGGATCCCAGAAACCACAAGAGTGAAGCCAGGCCTGGTGGCACCGGCTTGTAATCTTAGCTCTAGGAGGAGGAGGGAGATGGATCCTTGGGGCTTGCAGGCTCTCCAAGCTAGTCCTCTTGGTAAGATTCAGACCAGCCAATGGAAGAACTTGTCAAAAAAAAAAAAGAAAGAGAGAAAGAAAGGAAGGAAGGAAGGAAGGAAGGAAGGAATGCAAAAGCAAAACCACAAACAAGTGAAACTATTAACCAGAAAAACTAGAAAAAAAAAAGAACTATCGCTTTCCCTTAACTAGAGGAGGCTAAGGCTCCCACTCCTTCAAGACTCGGCCTCACCTGTGACCCTCCACCATGGCCAAGGAAAGCATTGCCACTGGAGGCATGAGGGAATGTAACGCTGCTTTCCAAGAGGACCACTCCTGGCCACAGTGGCTTAGCCAGTGGAGTCCAGGAAGCCTCTAAAGCCTTAGACAGCGACAAGCCATCTTCGTGTGCTTGCACCCAATCTCCACGTGCCCGTGTGTCACGTCGGTAGAGGTCTTTGCTGAGTACCACCACATCAACCTCGTTAAGGTTGAAGACAAGAACCCAAGGGTGGGCAGGTGTCTGCACAGTTGATTTAGAGAGGAAATTCATTAAAGCGTCTGTTTGCAGTTGTGTAGTAGTTAAGGACTATAGAAAAAAAAATGGAACTGGGATGTTTTCAAAGAATCCTTTAAATGCAAAAATATGAACTAATAAAAATTCACCCAAAGTTCAAATATAAAATAATAAATCAACAAAACTGAGAATCCAGATGCCACCTGAGGATTAACAGCCAAGGGTCTTCTCTGCCCTCCACGCACGTGCGCGCACGCACACACACACACGCACACACACACACACACACACACACACACACACACACACACACACATAGACCACAGCTTTACGTCGTTATTAGAGGGTGAGTTCCAGCATTTAGTTGGTGGAGCACTGAGCGGTTGGTTGGTCTTTGTATTACACACTGCTAAAATGACTTCCCTTGTGTTTCCCACTTGTGGTCTAGCCCAGTCACCTGTGGACTAGAAGAGAGCTGCACCAGGCATCACAGAGTGCAAACCCGTCCTCTAGAAATCATGGCAAGATCACAGCA